TCCATTTAGATTTGCCAAAAGTTAATATAAATCAAAAATTTGTTATCATTCATTCCTTTATGGCAATAAAAATAGTTATGGCCAGAAATTGGAGAAATATGGGCTCGTTAAACTGACATGATATATGTATACAAATAGATTATCAATGTAGGATGGAAGCTGGGTTAGCCTCAAATAAGTTATCCAGAGAGAAATATGATGACATTTGGGCCCCTTGGGTTAGATATCTTAGCTGTAAAAACTCAACTCCCCTCCCACAGATAGCCACTCTTAGGTAGCACCAAGGTGAAATTTTAAGATTGTAAGAAAGAGGAACTGTATGTTATTTTCTCTTCTTTTGGTTTGAATGTAGATAAAATAAAAAAAAAATTAAAAAATTAAAAAATCACAAAATGTTACCATTTGTAATACTATCTCAAAAGTTAGACTTTACTAATTGTGAGATATTCAATTACCTCAGAGTTGAAGGCTATTTGCAAAACCACATCCTTAAATTACAAAAAGAAACAGAAGATCTAATTATTTATTTATTTATAAAATAATTTGCCAGGAAAGATACATTGAAATTTCTCTCGTTTTCAAGTATGTCCTGGGTCCGCAAAACATTGCATTGATACATTATGGTACAATAAAATACAAAAACAATATTAATATACAATATATACAAAATTTAACATAGAACAGGTAGGAAATATATACTCAGCCATAACACGTGCATTCTGTTTTAAGGTATGTAGAGAGGGATCTCTTAAAGGACTTTAGGCTTGGGGAAGATTTTAAAGTGTGAGGGAGGTCGTTCCACAATTGCAGCGCTCTGTAGGAGAAGGAGGATCGGGCTGCTTTCTTTTTGTATTGAGGTAGACTAAATAAAGTGCTGGTACTGGATCGCAGGTTATAGGTGGTGGGAACGGCCGAGGATAGCATTTTGCACAGGTAGGGCGGGAGTTTCCCAGAAAAGCTCTTAAACACAAGGCTGGAAAGATGAAGGGTGCGTCTGGATTCCAGCGACAGCCAGTTTAGTTCTTCTAGCATGTCACAATGGTGGGTCCTGTAATGACATTGTAGCACAAATCGGCAGAACAAGTGAAAGAAATATGAATAAAGTTTAATCACGCGCAAAAGTGTTATTGAGCATTAGATTTAAATCCATTCAATCTTCGGCCCTTAGTAAATCGGAAATAGAGCTTGGTACAAAAATATTGTATAAAAAACTGTGTGACTCTTTAATTGGAACAAATAAGGTTAATCACTGTTTAAATATACTGGAAATGTATGTGAAGGTAATGCAGAGATGGTATTTGGTCCCAAAAAGACTAGCAAAGATGTCTTTGCAAATGTACCTCAAATATGAAAATGCTCCTCAAATAGGAGGGAAAAGGGAAAGGGGGAAACTGATTTTTTTCTTTTTCCTGCTTCCTTGTACTTCCCTATGATTAAACAATTCAGAAAGGGGGAAAAAAAAGGAAGAAATAAGACAGGGGAAAGGAAAAAAGAAAGAAACTGAATGGTCGCAAATTAATAAATTATATTAATGTCTGTTATTTGTTTGTTTTGTTTTTGTCTTTTTGCATGTATTTTAAATGGATTAAAAAAAATCAATAAAGATTAAATCAAAGAATAAATAAATAAATCCACAGAAAAAAATAAACCAATGGAAAAAAAGCACCTATGACTCTTGAGAAAGGACTCTTGAGAAAATGACTCAAGAGTCATAGGTGCTGGAATCCCAGAGTAACTCTCCAACTCATAAAAAAAAACTTTTAACAAAAAAATTAAATGAATACCACACTCACCAAAATCAGGAGATTTGCAAAAAAGTTTTATATGAGTACACAAAGATCAGTCTACCAATACTAATATTGCACTCTGGAAAAAAAAAAATTTTTAAATCCCTTACTTCTAAGTAAAACATTTTATAAAAGTGAAATAAAATGTCTTTATTGGTGTAAATAAATTTTTTTTTAAATAAAATATAAGCACATATGTAGGCACCACACTCACAATCACAGACTATTTTAATTCAGGCTCGATAGGGAATCAGTATGAAAAATGTATGTATGTATTTATGTTCAAAGTTCAAAATACCAAAAAATACAAATTTAAAAAAATGAAAAGTGTAAAAAATGGTAAAGAAAAAAGGAATAATTCAACCACTAAATATTAAAAACAATCTGACCTTTAGAAATAATGAAATAACATGAAGAAAGCAGTTTTAACTGAATATCCAAGCAATTTAGCAATTTATTGGTAAATTGATTCCTAACTAAAAGATTTAGAATGAGCAAAGTTTTTCCCTAGCTTTTTATTTATTTTTATTTATTCTCTCTTGGTAGACTCCGCAAGTGATTTCTTTTTTCTTCTTAAATCCCTTTAATTATTTATTTATCTATTTATTTTTGTACGATATAAGAATAATTTTATACCATGTGGTATAAACAATATGGAACAATGGACAACGTGTACAAACAGGAATAAGAAAAAGTGAGTAACAATAATAATAATACAATTGTTTAGATAAATAAATAAATGAAATTGGGGTGGGGACATCATAAAAAAATTTAACATTTTGACCAATAAAGATTATATTTAAAAAATGTGAATATCTAATTTTGTAATTTTGTTTAACATACACAAATATTGTATGCTAAGGCAATACATTTGTTTTTACCTTATTACTACACGTTTGCGATGAAACAAAAATAAGGCACAATGTATCCTTCTGATGTTTGTCTCCCACACTGTCCACTTCCTCTTAAATTCCACCACCTGAGGAGTAAATGGTCTAATAGTTGGCTCGTAGCTTTCATTTTTGAGTACTAGCGAAATCTCTCCAACCGCCATCTGCTATTAAATTCAACTTAAGTACAGATAGATCAAAATGGATGATAATTGAAACAGAAACAATTCCTCCACATTCCATCAAAAATATGTTATGACTGCCTATGGCTAAAGAGCCTAAACGTTCTGTTTTGTTTCCAACTTCCAGGTTGACAACATGACTTTTCTACTGTTGTGTTATATATTTTTAATGATGAGGCAATGGCTTCCATTTGCAGTTCTGCATTTATAATTCTCTTGCATTAATTATCTGAGTTCATTCTAAATTTTTAATTACTCTTTTCCTTGATAATTAAGTGGAATTCGCATGTATGTATGTGTGTTTATTACTATTATTTTTTTTTAAATAATATTGATTTGTATTGTTATGTGCTAACAAAAGACTGTCAGTTGACATGTAGTTTATTTGTTGATTGCTTTAAATATTATAAATTGTTTATACATTGTTTTATTATAACATTAGTCACATGTTGTATTTTTTTTCATGTGATATAATATTTTACACCACATACTGTACGCATTCATCTTCCTGAAATGTATTTATTGTCAAACAATTTAACATGCTTGCATTATTTTAACCCCTTAAGGACACAATTCTGGAATAAAAGGGAATCATGACGGAATATTTCTGTCGTGTGTCCTTACGGGGTTAATAGTATAGTTTTTCACCTGCATTTATGTTTCAACTAAATTGTTTCCACTGTAGAAATTTGTGATCTGCCACTAGTTAATTATTTGTAGTATGAATGTCCTATATTTTATAGCTTTCCTAAAAGAATCAGTAGATCAATTTTACACTATGAAAAGATGACATGTCTATAAATTTTATTATATAACAAAAAACTTATATTTACTATGGTCATAAAGGCTTCTTGTGTTAATACATGATTTATGATGCTGTGAAGTGGGTGTCAACACTTCACATTCCTTATACGAAATATTTACAAGTCCGTGTGAGGACTGAAACATTGACAAAACTTATGGTATGTATATAAAAAAATAATATTGATTAATTGAACGCAAGTCCACTGAGTGCGCTTCATCTGCTGTTATAGGTACTTTAACCAGAGGTTTGCATCGTGGCATAGGTATTACAGTTTGATACATTGAGTGCACCACACCTGATTTCGTTTTATTATATATGTCTTTAGCTATAACTGATCAGATTAGTAGAAGTGCGAGAGTGCTTACACCAAATGTTTTCGCTAGTGTAAGTCACAAGCAATATAACCAGGAAGTATGTTATTTGTGCAAATCTTTTAATTCCTATATTTTTTTATGTGGTTTTATATCTATAACATATTAACCAGCCCCATTATATTATCATATGTTTTATGTAATAGCTGCTCAGTGTACGGGCCAAATGCTCGAAATATATAGAACATTATCTCAGAGTAGCAGCCAATCTTTATTTTTTTTAAACAAGAAATTACTTAATGTTTGTGATCTGTGAAATATCATTAATGCATTTGGTTTGGTATTCACTGTACCTTGTACCATATGTGAAAGAGACCGATGTGCATATCAGGAATGTAACCAAACATTGGTTAATAAAATAATCATTCACATTCTTATTATAGTTATACTTGTGTGTGTAAAGTAATACAAAGTTTTATATAGACTCAGAAGTACAACTTAAATGAATAAATGGACCAAGTTAATTTTTTGAATTAAAAAGTATGCTTTTTATTATTATTTAAATAGATCTATGCGGCAATGTTAGAACATTTGGAGGAACAAGTGTATAATGCATGCAAGAAGTAACAAGTAGCAAAGCAAGGGTAACATTTTATAGTATATGGTATAAACGTATAGGGAGTCGAAGGGATAAAGCAGATCTTTTGTTACACAATCTCACATGTCTGATGGAAAAAGCATAAACACTTGTATTATAAAAAGAAAGATAAGAAAGAAAATTAAAGATCACATAAGTCACTCTGACCTATATCACTCAGCAGGTCTATGATGATGTAAACAAGAAACAAATTTTTTTTATCCTCAAGTGACAAAGTGGCCATTAATTGTATTGCTCAAACTATTAGCAATTCTTATTACAATTATAGCATAAGGAGTAGTAAAGGCTGATTATACATGCTGTCACACAGACCAAGATATACATGGTATTTTTAACTACAGAGGCTGAGTGACCTTAATCTTAAGCATTAACACTGGGACAAATTGATTCCTTGTGATGTGAAGGAAGAAGAACCTTCTTGCTGGACCCAGCAGGAGTAAATGCTGTCTTTGTTGAGGTCTGATGCTGGAATGGTCAAGTAGCTGCTCATACTGAAGGTGTTATCTGTCTCCCGAGTAGGCTGACTTGTGCTGACTCCATCTTGGATTGTGGTACCATCTTTTATCCATTTCACATTAACCAAACTAACTGACATCTTTCTGACATGGCAGGTTAGGACCTGATTATCTTTTGTCGAATGATCTTCAACATATGGGGCGAAGACATTAATAGCAGGTTCAGGAAATTTATCCACTGGAAAAAAAAACAGAGAAAAAAAATGAAATCAATTTAAAAGTAATCTAAGTCCTATCCAACAGACATCAACCATGTTACGCTGTCAAACTATAATGCCTTTTCACTATAATCTTTCAACTTGCCTTTTCTAAATAATCAAACATTTGTAATTGGCCTATACAATACATCATACAATGGATGATTTAAACAATTCAATCTATTACAATGTAGATAAAGATGCTTTCAAACATTGCTCGTGAAGTTCAATGCAGAGTTTTTTTTTAAAAGAATTAATAAACAGAGGATACCAATTCCTTGCTTAATTACTCTTATTCACTTAATGCTCCCTGAAGGGAACATTCTTATGATGTGCATAATGGAGATAAACTTAAAGGTATAGGATAAAGGTGTATACATCATTTAATTTCCATCCAAAATAATAGTCCGATATTAATATGCATTAATTCTCACAGATATAAATTACACAATTTGATAACTTTCACTGTATATTAAAATGTACCTATTTGTCAATAGAAACCAAGATGTTTGAAAACATAAACAATGAGTGTATTTTTTTTTTTACTAAAAATCCTCTCATAGGGATAATCTTTAGACAAAAGATCACAATTATCAAAAACATCTCTACTCCTGTTGAATTGGGACTTTGTTTCATATGTGGCTATTTTAGCCCAACTATGCATGTAGATTTTCAAATCACTGACTCTTGGTTTAGTGGCTAGCCTTTGTACATATTACCCTAAATATATATAACACACATTAAATATATTTAAATTATATATTGAAAATGTACCACTGCAGATAAAAAAAATAATATTTTAAATCCCTATTAATGATAAAAGATTACTATTAAACATAATACAATAACTTAAATGGTCTTAACTCACAATGATAATATTATTATTATTAATAATTAAAATGTTAAATAAAGACACTTTTTTTTAAAATTGCATGAAAGTGTAAATAATGCCTAACACTTGCATATGTATATTGTAAAATATTGTACGGTGGGTCTTACCTGTTACAATAAGTTTACTGCTTTGACTGAAAACGAACACATTGGTTCATTGCACACATATCCCTAATCAACATCTATGTGATCTATGTATTTCAATTTTATAGCTAAATAAATAACCAAAATAAAGATGATCTATTCAAAGAACAGTAAGTTGAGGTGACCTCAGGGCTATCTCTTTACACCAAGATATGTGAACTTGAAAATAAATATAAAGATTTTCTTGAATGCAAAGTAATATAAGTTGGAAAAAGGACAAGGTATGTCTGACAAAATAGATTTTTTTTCCAACTCTGCCTTTTATTTTGCTTTTCTTTAAAGAGGCATCAATGTGTGTCTAAGTAATTAAATATGACTAATTAACTCTTGATCAGGATTACAACATTGTATTGCATTGTATTGTAATTAATCCCTGTCAACATAAAGATGATGCCAAATATTTTTTGCAATACTATTTATATTAATAATATTAATAATATTAACAAGCTTTAGTACTGATGAAAATGTTATATTTATAAAACATTGATTTCTTACCTGTGACTATGAGTTTACTGCTTTGACTGAAGACCCACACAAGGGGTAAATCTACCATTAGCCCTAGTCATATTCTTTTATTTATAGGTTAATGTATTTAGAAAGCTTAGCAGAATATTTCAATGCCCAATTTAATTATTGAAAACTATATTGATGGATGAACTAAAATTTAAATAAACATCTGTTCAATTCAATACAAATAACTAATTAATAATTAAAGAATAGGATGAATTAAAAAGTTGCTCATTTTAGATTATGTGTCTATTGATTTGCTTTTTTTAAATTTAAAAATTTAGAAATGTATAATTAATCAAAAGAAATGTTACAAAATAGAAATAGAAAAAACTGAAAAGCTAAAAATTATTTAAAAAGTGCATCGCATGTTTGCTAGTAGTAGTTTTAATCAAATACTTGTTAAAAAAATTTAAAATAATTTAATGTTCACTGAAAAATAAGATGTCAATATGTGAACATGCAATATAATATTTCCCCTTTCATTCAACATGAATTATTTAATTAAATGTTGAGATACAATTCAGTATAGTCTCACCTGAAACAATAAGTTTATATAAGCTGTTATATAATTTAGATACTGTTTAGCTCATTCTTACCTGTAACAATAAGTTTACTGCTTTGGCTGAAAACCCACACAAAGGGTTAATTTACTATTACTTCTAGTCAAGAATAGGGTCAATTAATCAAGGCCTTGTCAAGAACACTACTTTAATATTTTACCATATCATTTATAAATGAATGCACTTAAAAAAATAAAATAAAAAATGAAATAAAATTAACAGAAAAATAAAAAGATAGTTATTAAGCTACACGTATGTAGTCAGTTGTCAAAGATAGTACTAAAATATTTAAGTAGAAAATTGTGATTCAATGGATTTAGATTTTAGAAGAAATATCAAAAAATAAAAAAAGATTATTAAACTGTATGTCAATGGTAGTCAACTAACACAGATATTACTAAAATATTTAAAAATAAACTGTTAGATAAACATTCAGATACTGTTTAGTGCATTCTTACCTGTAACAATAAGTTTACTGCTTTGACTGAACACCCACACAAAGGGTAAATCTATTGTTAGCCTCAATCAAGAATAGGGTCAGTTTAAGAACAGGCTTTGTTAAGAACTCTACTTTTATATTTTACCATTTTATTTATAGATTAATTCACTGATAAAACACTGAATATTTAAAGCTATTTTGTTGGGTGAACCTGTAGTTTCATAAAAATACTTTGGTAAAATGCATGTAAGTATCATTTTTAGGGGCAAATTAAATAAAAATATTAGTTTTAGGGAACTTGTCATTGTATTTATAATTTTAGAAGAAATATCCAATGTAACTGTTACATAAATAAAAAAAATTGATGAAAAAAATAGAAAGATAATTATTAATCTTCACTACATGATGATGGCAGTCAACTAAAACAGATATTACTAAAAACTTTAATTAGAAAATGTTGACAATTCATGTTTGATTAAAATAAAATATCAATACATAAAATGTAACATTTTAATATTAAAATAATATTTGTTTTTTTCTACTGACTTTCATTTTAAAACAAAAATCAAAAGTAGGCCTTACAAAAGTAATAAAAATGATCAAACATAAAAAATATCATTGTCCTACATTTTTTGTTGACTGCAGTCAATGAAAAAGATATTACTAAAATATTTAATTATAATTTTTTTGATAATTTCATGTTTGGTGAGAATAAAATATCAGTAAGTAAACACTTAACATTCTAATATTTCCAAGTTAATAAAATAAAATTAAATTTAGATACTGTTTAATGCATTCTTACCTGTAACAATAAGTTTACTGCTTTGGCTGAAAACCCACACAATGGATACATCTACCATTAATCCTAGTGAAAAACACTGCTTATGTTGTTGAGTGAATCTATAGTGTAGCTACATACTTTTGGTGAGATGTACAAGATTTAAAAAAATGACGAGATAGATTTAAAAAACATATTTTATATGAAACATGATTTATGGCTTTTTAGAAGAAATAGCCATCCAATATAGGTATTACAAAAATATAAATAGAGATAAATGATCAAGAAAACATCTATAGTTTGTGTTTAACATTACTTTTTCAACAAAGATACTTAATAAAAATATTTAATTACTGCACTTAGATAATTTAATATAAGATGAATAAACATTATAATATATCCATGTCTATTCTCAAATTATTTTTTTCATACAGAATGCAATACATTCTTACCTGTAACAATAAGTTTACTGCTTTGGCTGAACACCCACACAAAGGGTAAATCTACTATTAACCCCAGTCAAAAATAGGGTCAATTTGCCAATAGCCTTTGTCAAGAACACTACTTTGATATTCTACTATTTTTTATATAGATTCATACACTTATAAAAAGTGAATATTTAAAGTTATTTTGTTTGGGGAACCTATAGTTTTATAAATATATTTCAGTGAGATGCGTGTAAGTATTTTAAAGGGACAAATAAAAAAAAATATTAGTTTTAAAGAAATCACGATTCTATTGATTTTCATTTTAGAAGAAATAGCAAAAGTAGGTATTACCAAAATAAAACTAAATCATCAAATGCAGCAAACAATAATTATTAATCTACATTGTTGACAGCAGTCAATTAACATATATATTACTATTTACATGTCTAATTATATTTTTAAAGTTAATTAATTAGAGTTTATATAGTATTCAATATAACCTTACCTGTAACAATAAGTTTACTGCTTTGGCTAAAATCTAACACATAGGGTAAATTTACTAGTAACACTGGTCAAGAACATAACCTTGATGTGTCACCCCATACTTTATAGGTTAATACACTTACAAAAAAGTTGAAAATGTAAAGCTATTTTGTTGGATGAACCTATAGTTTAATAAAATAATTTTAGTAAGATGCATATCATTAAAATATTATGAGATAAATTTAAATAAATATTAGCTTTAGAGGAATCATTATTCTATTGATTCTCATTTTCAGAGAAAATATTAAATTCTGATGTTAAAAAAAATAGAGAAAATAGATTAAAAAATCACAAGATAAATAATAAAAAGTGTATTTGCCAGTAATCTTTTAACAAAAACACTTGCTCAAAACATTAAGTTGGAAATAATGATAAAAATGTTAATATATAAACACTTTACATTTAATATTTCCATGCTGTTTCAAAATTAATTTGTTAATTAAACTTCCTTATATGATTCAGTATATTCTTACCTGTAACAATAAGTTTACTGCTCTGGCTGAAAACCCACACAAAGGGTAAATCTACTATAAGACCCAGTCAAGAATAGGGTCAAGTTGAAATAGCCTTTCTCAAGAATACTATTTTGATATAGTACTATTTTATATATATTAATGCAGTTATAAAATGTATTATATAAAAAGTTATTTTGTATAGTTTCATAAATATATTCTCAGTGGAATGCATGTCAGTATAATTTTAAGGGATAAACTAGTAATTTTTAAAGAAATCATGATTCTACTGATTTTCTTTTTAGAATAAATATCAACGTAGGTGTTACAAAAAAAAATAATGAATTAATAAACACATAAAAAATAATTATTAATCTACATTGTTGACAGTGGTCAGTTAATAACTATATTACTATTCACATGTCTATTCAAAATACAGTTTTTAGAGTTAATTTATTAAAGTTCATATAGTATTCAATAAAACCTTACCTGTCACAATAAGTTTACTGCTTTGACTGAAGACTAACACAAAGGGTAAATTGACTTGTAACCCTAGTCAAGAACATAGCCTTGATGTTTTATCTCTTACTTTATAAGTTAATGCACTTAGAAAAAGCTGAAAAGCTATTTTGTTGGATGAACCTATAGTTTAAAAAAATACTTTTCGTAAGATGCATATAATTTCAATGTTATGAGTTACATTGAAATAAATATCAGCTTTAGATGAATCACTATTCTATTGATTTTCCTTTTCAGAAGAAACATTAAATTCTGATGTTAAAAAAAAATAGAAAAAATAGATTAAAAAAATCCCAAGATAAATAATAAAGTATACTTGCCAGTAATCTTTTAACACAAACACTTGCTCAAAAATATATTATTTGGAAATAAAGAAAAAAAATTAAATACGTAAACACTTTACATTCAATATTCAAAATTAATTTCATAATTAAACTTTCTGACATAATTCAGTATATTCTTACCTGTAACAATAAGTTTACTGCTTTGGCTGAAAACCCACACATAATGTAAATTCTAATCTCTGCATGTTCAAAAACCCCTACTTGCCTCCCTTGAATAACACTGACTAAATGTCTTAAAATTGGTATAGGTAATTGTGTGGCCTAAAAATACTTATGTTATAAAATCTGAATTAGTTCATCACAAACTGTTCATAATCATAAGTATCCAACGTGTATGTTAGGTTGGATTGTAAGTGATAACTACTTTGCAATTGAAACGTAAAGTGAAAACCAATAGTATAGTTGGTGCTATCTTTTGTTATCTTAAATATAATTTCAGACATTATGCAGTTTTATGCGTCATTCTGTTATGGGCTTATAACGAAAAGAGCACGTTGCCTGAAAGCTTGAAAAATGAAGATAAAAGTTGATGACTCTTTGGAGATAATTTGGCTATTCTCGTCTTAATTTAGTAAGTCAGTTTTTAAAAATACTCCAACCTGCCTTTTATTGAATAGACTCTAATGGCTTGGTATAGAATACAGCTAACTGGCTATGATCAGTCTTGAAAATGTTAATTATTTAATTGACAATCATAGAAAAATACATTTGTCTATTTTATTTTTACTGAAAGTGCCAACTATGTAAAATATTTTAGTTTTTAGCTAAAACATGTCACAGAAATAGTGTGCAAATGTGGGGGGAAAAACAACTCCAAGGTGTACAGCAAAAACAAGATATACAGAAAAATATTATAAATAAAAAAACAATTATATAAATGTTTTTTATCAAGTCTTACCTGTAACAATCAATTTACTGCTCTGACTGAAGACTAACACAGAGGGTCAATACACATCATAACATGTACAAAAACAGACAATGGCAGTGGTGCACTACTATTTTATGAAACTTATACTATGCACTTAAAAATAACCCTAAAAAAATGTTATTAACCAAAATATATCAGTCTCAGTATTACAAACCGATGAATAGTTTAAACTTTTTTTAGCTTAAAATCTACATATAAATATAGTTCTTAACATTTATCCATTAATCTGGATATATATATATATTTTTCTAAATAATATTTCATATGACTTTTTAGCTAAATGTTTTATCATTGTAGCAATTTAAACACTAGTTTCATGACCATAAAATCACAGCCGATCTAACAGCTTGATTTTGTAAAAGAAGAAAAATAATGCTTGCTCCATTATTATTTCATTGTATTTGCATACTGCAAAATGTACTATGTACTATATTATTTGCTCTAAAGAACTCTAATTATGCAAACAAATGATGGAATACTGTTTTAGTCTGATTCAAAATTTAGCAAAGGACAAACATGTTGTTAGCCTCTGGTGTTTGTTTTCTGGACTGGAAAGAAAACAACTTCTGCTTTTTTTAAAGGACATCAATGTATTTTTGGTAAATTTTTTAGTTACAAGGTTGACCAATCTTTTCAATGTAGATTGTGATCAAAGTAAAATGACAAACTAAATATATCAGGCGAAGAAGACTTTAAAGAAATAATAGTTACGCCATTATGTTTAAAAAACTAATAGTATAGAACATTTGGCAGCAGTTACTGCAGGTGTGCCTTCATGACTACAAGCTTTAAAGAGACGATTATCTTCTAAGGTAAACAGATGAAAATGGGTTATGTGGTCTGGTACCTCATTGTCAGTTTTGTAAAATAATCATTTGTACAAGTTTTGATGTGATTAAGCCAATCTGTAAACAAATTGAAATTTATCTATTTATAGTAGCAAATACAGAAACATTTTAGTAGAACTACTCTATCTTTGAACCCTTGCTGTGTATGTGATATTGCTGTTTTTAACCTTACACACAGTAAAGATTCGGCTAAGAACTACTGCACATATGTGCTTACATTTGATGAACTACTACAAAACTACTTCTCTTTTTCCATAAACCTTACTATTACAACAACACACATTTCAATTCTAGGTTTTCTCAGCCCGTTATAATGCCAGAAGACATACAAATTTAGTATATTTTCAAATATCTGCCATTTTGTATTCACAAAAAAAAATAAGTATAAAATACTTTGATAAAGAATTCATCATAAGTAAAGCATTTAATAAAGTAACCTATATAGGACAAAGTGGAAAATGGTTAAGTAGCCCTAGAAATTGGGAAGAAGCATATGTTAAAGGTGCCAGAGGGAATATATTTAACACAATTGTATATAATATACATGCAATGCCAATAATACATAAATATACTTACCAAGTGGGACAATCTAGATATATGAATCACAGAAAAAGAAAAACAGAGCATATGATGAAATACAGATGGTTGTTGGCTTACCTGTAACAATCAGTTTGCTGCTTTCACTGAAGACAAACACAGTGTGTCATCTTCTATACCTGCTTGGACTAAAACCTTAATGGGAATAACACATTAAGGACCCAGGCATTTTTGTAAACTTTGATCCAATGTATTGATTAAAATTAACTATAAATTAACACACTTTTAAACATTGTGTCCCGAGGCACGACTTCTAAAGAACTTTGCAAGATTTTCTAAAAGTATTATTTTCTTGAGAACTACCTATTGTGTCTATGAATGTGTGTAAAGACAAAGGTATAACATAACGTTATTTGAGTAGGACTTGAAACAGAGCATACAATGTTCTTCAACAAAGCTTAACAGCATGTCAAAGTTTTGCAG